AGGGGTCACTCGCGACGGGCCTGCGGGAAGCGGTGCCCGGCCGGGCCTCTGGGCTCCGGGCAGGTGCGGTGACCCGTCATGGGGCGGCTTAGGCCCGAAGCCTAATGACTTCCCATGGAAAGGTTCTCTCCAAAAGGGTAGAGTCTAAGAAGTCTAGCTGTACTTAAAAGACAGCACTTACTTGAGTCCAACTTCCTCTTGAGAAATGAAGAGGAAATACATTATTTGAAAAAAGGTTAAGGCAAATCCTTTATAAAACAGGTGGAAGGTTGTGTAGAAAGAAGCGAAGCCAAACTATGGGTGCTCTGAGCCTGTTGGTTTGTAAGAGAAATGGTTGGTGCGTGATCTTGGTGCACCTTTTCTCCTCCTGGCTTCACTGGTAATTTTAGTTATGGTCTTTCTCTCTTTATCCCAAACATTTTTTTCCTAACTTTTAAAACAAAATATTAATGGGTCAGCTAATAGCTGCAAGAATAAAAAAAACGCACCGTATTTCCTTAGCTTTTAAGTTGTGGATATGTGAAATTAAGCAGAAAGATTACGTGATACAAATAATTTTGATAATATTTACTATCGCGTGCAAACAAATGAAGACCAATATAAGGGGGACAGGTATTTAGTTATGTTTTTTATTATACTATCACATATACAAATAAAAATGCAGCTTAGGATTCTGAGGCCTTTTAAGTCAATAGTTTTAAAATAATTTCAAGAAAGCCTTTTATCTCATACATGTGAGAAACATTTTATACATGTCACCTTCTCCTATGCCTACTGATGTCAATAGCACAACTCTTTCTTCATTCAGTGGGACCCATGACAGGAAGATAATTCTGAAAAAAAGCAAAATTTATGAGCAAAGTTGCAGTGAAATTACATCTTTCATTACGAATATTTTAGAAATCTACTAGACTTCCACACAGCTAAGAGCCAAGAGAGGTAGCTTTGCAGCGGTAGAATTTGGCCTGTGCAGTATCAGACACTTGTAAGAATGTGGCTTTCTTTGAAGAAAATCAGCAATTCTCTGGAGTTCTCTGCTGCAATGAAATTTGTGTATTACAAAAAAAAATCACACTGAAAAAAAATGATTAGTTTTCTACTAAAACAGTTCAAGAATAAGGCAAGTTAGTATTTTTGCTATGCAAATATGCAGCTCTTCCGTCCATTTGCATGCATTATTCTTTTTCACCTTGGTTTTGGTGTATAGAAAACTTTGATTATGATTTTCAGTAGATTACAGTCAATGCAACTCAGCTTAGAAAAAATACATGTATAAGATATGCGTAGAGTCCCAGAATTAATAAAATTGCACAAAAAGTGCTATCACCTTGATAACAATGAGCCATTGTTTTAAAACAGAGGATCCAAAAGATTTTTTTTATACAAAACTTAGATATTTTATATTTTAAACATGGTTAAAACAGAGAATTGGGGCCAAAAGCACTGCAAAAATGGAATAGCAGGGCGAAGGGTGATCATTCCCTAATAAGGTTTGCACGTATGCCTAAGTTTTGCCAAAAAATCCATTTGAAAGTGTTTCCAATTTAAGAGTTAAAATACTTTTTTAATTGTAAATTAAATTTACAATTAAAAACATGAACATGACATCCAAATTATTTGTCTTTATTCAATTAAACATGCTGAAATCAAGAACAATAGGTATAAATATAGTATTTGATTTAAGTTTTAAATTGGAGAGCTGTTAAATGTCTCACTAAAGTATCAAAAAAGTTACGGTAACATATATACAATCAAAGGTAATAATAATTCACATTCAACAACTTTAATGTTGTGTCCTTGAATCTTTCTTAAAACAAAAAGAAGCTAATAACTTTATAATCATTGTATATTCTTTGTATAAAATGTGGATCTAGTTATTCTCACCTATGAATAACCCTAGACTGCTTCAGTAGGACAAGGTACCAGTTCAATGAAAGCCAGGCTGGATCAAAGACCTAAAAGGAATACATAGCATAGAATATATACAATTACAATGGCTGGCCCAGGATACAATTTTAAAAGCTACAGAAGTAACTTATAGCAAAAAACCCTTATAGTGATAAGTAATACACCTAATTACCATATCCTTAGAATAGATGTAATATAAATTTCATTGCTCACTTAAAAGTTCTAAAGTTAACAGCATAAACTTGAAGTTGAGTAATTAAGTAATCCTTATATAGACACTTATTAAAGTATTTATACATATTATCTTAAATCTACATCTATCATTTTGCCAATTAAAATTAGGACTTTAATTGCAATTAAGTAATTTAATTGCCAATTGAACAGCAAAATTGCTAAGTGACTAATTTTAATGCCTATTTTAATTACCAATCATGACTGGGGAGGGAGCTAATCAAGCAGTATCAGAGTAATGATGTGAAAAAAAAATGGAGAACAAACATTCAGGGCTACACGCGTTAAAAAAGAAACCTAAATTAAATAAATGCAAACACAATTTTATAAATGTGGTGAAATGCTGTATTTTGGTATCCAAATACAGGAGCCCAAAGAACACATTTAATTAAAACAACTGTCAATCTTCTTTTAAAGTATTAACTATGAAGTGCACTTTTATATTATATTTACATATTGCCCTCACTAAAAGATAAACTAAAAACTGAATATGAATGTGAAGTTATGTAAGTAATTGTAATTTGACAGGATGAACTATTCTAGATAAGCAGCAACTTGTCAGTTGAGTAATAAAAATGAATTCTCAAAGTGCAAGATGGGAGGAACTCTGCAATGTTATACACAAAAATGTACTGAACTATTATATTACAGAGTCATTATATCTAGCTTCCTTGTTCGAAAAAGTTTCAGTCATTTATTGCCAAGGCCTTTACATTAAAATGAAATATAGAAGTGTTAAATATTTTAAAATATCAGTGTGAAGATAAACAAGTAGCTATGATTGCAATGCAATCAGATGTCACTATAAGGAAACTAATGTATTTAAAATCCACAATATATGGTGTTGAAATTCTTTAACTTCTTTATCCTTTCCTGCCCATACAAAATTTTATACACACACACATAGATACACTCACACACGCATATATGTACATGTATACATCACTGTACAATTGGTGTTCCATTCAACTCTCAATTTAAGAGGTATGTGAATAGGGAACTCTTTTTGGCACTAAGTCTGAATTTTAGAAGGCATATATCTAAACATAATTTAAAACCATTCCCTCTTCAGTTCATTAGAACAACACTGACATATGTTGTATATGACTGGTTTTGGAAGTCAGCCACTTCATAGGCCTGCAGCCCTTCTTACACTGTCAAGATTTTCCGCTGACTTCAATGGGGAGCTTTCTTTGCTTAGTAAAGACTACAGGGTTAAGTCAAAAAGGTTACCATGGATGTTAACTAGGATTCCACAATGTTCATTCTATACAATTCATAAGTGGGATGCAAAAAGAAGTAAAATTAGTCTAGAGTAAAAGGACAAAAAATCAGAACTATAGAAGAATACCGCCTATAGAAGAATATGCATTTTTTTTTAATGAAAATGGGTATAAAAGGTTAATTTGGTTTTTGTTTTTTTGTTGTTTTGGGGGGGAGGTTAAAGCTCTGCACCCAGAAGTCATGGATATTAAGTAGGGAGATCATGTAAGAATCAAGTACACTAGAGCTGAGGATTAACTGTAGGATTTATGACAACAATAGTTTTATAAAAAAGACACTGATCCATTCATAACATACTTACACTTGCATGTCTAAATATTAATCCAACATAAACCCTCTTTAAAAAACCCACAAAATCACAGAAAAATACCTTGTTAAAAGGTATGCTGATCAATTTTAAAAGATTAGAACTTTTTTGTTGTTGCAAAGTGTTAGTTTTGAGGTTTACATTATTTGTATCCCTGTTGGCAATAGGAATATGCTTGAAGCAATATTTTACTTCACATATAGGCAACTCAGACTTCACTTCCACATGTCTTAATGGAGAGGCCCTTGAGGCAGGGCTTAAATTACACTTTGACTTTTTGGTGGGGTCTGAAACAAATATTGGGCTGCCCATCATGATGCCCTAACAGAATCAGACACCCTTCCTCCCCCTCCCCCCCCCCTGCTTTCCAGGTTATGACTCTCAAATCTTACACAGGTGCTTTTGTTTCTTATGGGAGGGCTCAGTCCCCCTGAGCTCCCTCATAAGTCAAACCCTGCCTTGAGGTACAAGAAAATGGGGCTCAATACTATGTTCCTGACACCAATGAAAACCGGCTCAGGCCCATTTAACAGAACAAGAGCTTTGTTTTTCTGGTCAGCTACGTGGAGACAAAGGAAAACCTCATACCGTCAGTAGGATTTTGCATGGTATACGTATATAATATATTAATTAAACCAGGTGCCTGTTTCTTGTTCAGGGAAGGTCATGTATTTTTCTGTACGTTTTGAGAGCGAAAGGTCATCTTTTAACATATTGAACAGTTTTTAATAACTTGAGGTTTATCTTACAGATGAAGGACATGGAATGTGCACACACACACACACACACACACACACACACAATGTGTGTGCATGTGCATATGTGTACACACTATTATTTTTAGAAGTACCAACTACAGGCCAAGGCCCCAGGGCACACCAAGCACAATGAAGAGACAATCCCTGTCTTCATAGTAGCAACTAGAAGCCAGGGCCCCAGGGCACATCAAACGCAATGAAGAGGCAGTCTCCATCTCCAAAGACCTTACAGTGTGTATTTGTTACTAATATGCAAGCAGAATAACTTCATTTAAGATAAAACTGTGTCACTGACAACCCAACATAAGAAAGAATGGCAACAGGTCCATGATACTTCTTGGTTTCTGTCCTTGAACAATTATTAATTTTCTTTCCATCTTGAATAACATTTCAGATAAAAAGATAGCAGCACATTACATGTTCAAATTAGTGTCCTTCAAAAATTAATCATCAGGGTGAGTGTAGAAATCAAGGGATAAATACTTTTGAGTTTTACGGGTGCAAAACCTTCCTTTGGGATCTGATCATGCTTCAAAAGGTTAAAATCATAACACTGAAGCAGATTACAAAGCTAGTGAATTTACAAAGTCTCGCTGGGCCCAATCAGATAACCTTTTGAAAGCAATGGGTGACCTTCTACTGACTTGTAATAGAGCCCCAATAAATGCACAAGTTATTGCACATTCAAGACATATTGAACAATCATTGGGCAAAATCAACCAATAATGCATACATACATACCTGTTTCCTTAAGAACAGTTAGTTTTCTGCACATTCAAATTTCTGTAAATGTGTGTGTGTGTGGGGGGGGGGAATTAATAGGCCTTCTTATGTCAAAAAGTCTTAGTTCATAAAAAGTCAAACAACTGAACTTATGGTTGAAAATATAAAACATGTTGGAAACTGCTAAAAGGCAATTAATTTTACCCCCAATTATTTTTCTGAAGTAGTCTAAAGCTTAGTCTTTATATGCTGCTCCCCCCTGTCCCTATTCCTAGTCCCTAAAAGAAATATGCAGTGCAGATCAAGATAGTTTTGCTCAAAATCAGAATATTTCACACTGGCGTTGGGACTTTTTGTAGCTACAGTCACTTGTTGTAGTGAGGACAGCGGAGCCTGCACCGTCCCTTGTCATTCGGAGAGAGCAGGCCGGGTCACGCCTCAGCGTCGGGCAGATGTGACAGCTGTCAGGATCCTATAAATGCAAAGAGATGTTTATCCTAGCTGAAGCCTAGCCCCGTTTGGTCACACGCTCACTGGATTAAAAACAAAACAACAAAACCCGGTGAGATCCATTTCCCATTTTATTGTTACATAGCATCAGGTCAAGGCATATAAATCGTAGCAGGCGATTCATCTTCCTGTTCCGAGAGTCATTACATTTTCCCCCGGAATATATGTGATTGATATTCTCGGAGGTGAGGGGCTAAACGGCCCAGATGGCAACGTGTTGCATCCCATATGCTATCTGCCCATCCGTGCTTAA